AAAGCATTTCTGTTAATGCATTTGAATTTTCAAATGAGCTTTATCATTTGAATTTTGATCACTAATAGCTTCCATATAAAACAGTCAAGCAGACATCAAACATTATAAAAAGGCATTTAAAATAAAGTTGTAGCAGTGTGAGCGAGCCTCTGAGGCAACACTCAGGGTAAAAAAACACCTCACTGAGGCACTGAAGAAAAGCAGTTCTACATTTTTATTGACTCTTTTTGGTGACTTACTCAAACTGAAACTGTAAGTGTCTGGAGAAAATAACACCATAACTTTCTGTATTGAGCAGCCACAGATAAGCAGGAATATCTACTTTCAGTGTCGGAGCATGACGCTCTTAACAAAAACTTACATCTCTTGAGAATTTCCTGTGAAATACCAAAACAAAAAGAGGACACTGCCAGGAATTCAAAGCTGTCTGAAGAACTTAACTGGATTGTTTAAGGAACTGAAAGTAAACAAAATACTTCAGAAGCTTGGAAGTATGCAGCACTGTGACTGTGAATCATTCCTCCTCCAATCCCGTCTTCCTGTTTTTTTTTTGTGTTTTTTTCTGTCTGTCTCAGACATTCTTCACAGAGAATCTGTGATCTAAATGAGAAGGAATATGGCTGACAGATAAAAGTGGGGAGAAGGGATGGGCCTTATCGACACCCCCATTACATCTTCTTAGCCCGTTATCTTCCCTGGGTCCCCTCTGAGGGAGAAAGGCCGGGCTCTTTAAGGTCTGATTAACACGCTTTTCCTCAGGATCCCTATTGTTAGATAAAACTCTCCATTTCTGGCTCTTTAATTAGCTTAAGCAGCTTGGTGCTGCCAAAAGCACTTGTGATATTCCATTATTCTAATCCTATTAGCACAAGAGCAAAGACAGAAGAGCAGAGAGAGAAAGTGGGACTGCACTAAAGGAACCATCTTTTTATAGCTAATGAACACGGCAGAACTCTGCTAGCAGAGAGTGGCTAATAGAGCTGATGCTTTGTGACGGGTCAGCCTGTATCTGTTTCATTCCTCTACACACACACACACACAATCATTTTCTGCACATGCTCAGAGGAGGCGTCTCAGCTGAGGATGATAATGGTGTGTGTGTATGTATGCTCCCGTCAGCTCTGGTGTTCAGACAGAAGGAAGGGCACAGTCACAACACCTACAGGCAAACCCTGCTGTCCAATGTGCTGTGTGTGTGTGTGTGTGTGTGTGTGTGTGTGTGTGTGTGACATTTTAATATGAGACCTTATGAGAATTCCTTGGTTTTTGCAGACAGTCTCAAGTGGACACTCGAGGTACTGCAGTTTTTTGTACTTCCTTATTGGCTTGATTTTTGAACATCAGAGGTTGTTGCTGGATCTTAACTCCATGTGTTTTTCGAACAACAACAAACAACAACAACAACAACAACAACAGGTCAGTAGTATTTAGAGGAGCGTTTTAAGGCACTTCTCAATAACCATCCATCATCTCTGAATCAACCTGTTTATTGTTCAGTCAATTTAAACCTCCCTCTGTATCTGGATATCACAGATGTTTAGAGTCCCCCTCCGACTTCTGTCATCACATGCAGCAGCAATGATGGATTCTTCTAGAAACGACCGTCTCTGAAGAAACACTAGAGGAAGAAAAGAGCCAAACAAATCGGCTAAGCGTTGGCACTGGCATTAATTTGCCCTCTTGTGCTCAGAGCCTCTCTCTGTCTTTCCATGTCAGATAGCCCCTGATGGATCAGTTTTAGGTCACAGACTTATTTTAGGAGGTTTTTGTTCTCCATGTGTTTTTGGGTTTGATGCGATTTAGCACAGCAGCTCTCGTTATTCTCTAAGAGTGGAGACAATCAAATGAGAGCAAACCACGATCAAGGGAAATAGTTGAGCTCTATGGATTTTCCATGTGGCTCGCTCAATAACGCTGTCGTTAAGGAAGAGAAGGGCAAGACATTCTTTCTCATCAAAGCGTAGCTGAGCCTAATTAGCTTACAATCCCCAGTTAATGATATGTTACCTAACGATAGTATCAGGGTCCCTGTCCGGCCGCTGTCACTTTCACTCTGTGATCTGGGGCAGTAATATTTTGATCAAGATAACATCATATTTCCACTGAAGTACAAGCCGTCAAATCCAGAGGGTTCTCAACTGGTGGGCCGGGACCCAAAAGTGGGTCGCAGAGTCGTTTTCAGTGGGTCGGTAATGTGTGTCTGGAAGAAAAATGCTGTCAAGAAGTCTATGAACTGAAGCGCTTTTTTAACAAGATGGTTTCATTCAGCTTCTTGTTCTATCACACTTTGTACTGTCTGAGGTCCAAACTGCACTTTTTTTTTTTTTTTTATATATATATATATATATAATTGATTTATTGAAACATTTGAGAAATTTGGGTAGCAATTTTTCTTGAAGGAGTGGTTGGTGGGTTCTTAGGCTTGACCAGTTGAGCACCACTGGTCTATTGCATACAGTTAAACAACAGCAAACTTTGGTTTAAAAAAAAAGAATAATAATATTTATTATACATTATTAATATGTTGCTTTGGATAAAAGCGTCTGCTAAGTGAATTGTAGAATTGTAGAATATTTGAAAACTGGTATAAACCCGTAGCTAGCAATAGAGACCAGCAGCTTCTCCATAGTGTGCAGCAGTAGGAAGCCTTTCTGTGCCGCATGTACAGAGGCTTTAGTCCTCGTTGCAGCTGCTGTGGGTTTGAATCCAACCTCGGCTCTTTGCTGCATGTCACCCCCAACATATCATGTCTCTCTTCAGCTGTCCTCTCCAATAAAGGCAAAAAAAAATGACCCAAAAAAAAAAGAACCTTTCTGGACAATATTTACTTGCAGGTCAATGGTACTGACCCAACGTTTTAATTAAAGCAGGTCAACGTCTCTTACTAGAACCCTGCACATGCTTCTTTTCACCAGGCCTTTTCTTCCCTGACTATGAGCAGTCTTTAAAAAAAAAAAAACACACTCAGCAGCTGTTTGCTTCTAAACACTTTGAGGTTAAACTCTGTGTTTTATGGGACCACATAAGTAATTGCAAATGAGGATTTACTCATTAGTTTTAACCACATTAGCCACTGGGATTTATTAAAGGCTGCTCTATATTGCTCTGACTTCATTAGCTCAGTGTTAAACACCGCCTGTGTGCTGTGTACACACTCAATTGCACCACATGCATCTACACCAACAGATGACAACACACTCAGAGTTTATAGATATATCATTATCTTGCTTTGCGAGTACCAGAGCAGAGAGCAGCCAAGCCATAGTTATTTAAATCACTCATATAATGCTTCAAGTGTTGCGCTGAAAATGATAACGCTGAGGAATAGCAATCTTTAACCGAAGCACAGATGAACAGAACTGACAAAAGCATGTAAGCAGCATGCAAAGAGCCGCTAAATCATAGCAGTTGTGGTTGTGTTTAAACTGAAGTCATTCTTGTCTGAAGACCAAGGTGATTAAAAGAAGCGGGGCTGTAACGCTGACTCATGGTGAAAGGAGCATCTGTAAATCTCTTCCTACAGCTTTAGCAAAAAAAGAGCTTCAAAGACCAAAAATTGTATTTCGTTTCAGGCACTAGAAATGTATAATTTGACTTTGAAGTTGGGCCATTTAAGGTGCTTGATAGGGATTTTACACGCAGCCTCAAGTGGCTATCTAAGGAAATGCATTTTTTTTTACAATTTGTTGATTGGTTTTGATTTCATAACAATGAAGGATGCTGCTTGTAATTCCTTTGTTTCCCCTGCTGATTTAACGTACAGTTACATGCATTAACTCTGCATCATGAACCATCTGATAGCAATGATCAGATCAGATGAATCACTCACAGCCGACCTCTCTTTACAAATCGACTGTTTCTAAAGCTGCAGGAAATCTGTCCTGGGCAGCCTGTGAAACAACACAGGACATGAGATTCAAACGATCCTCTCCATCTGCTCTGCTGTCTGTTTGTCTGCTGCCTGATTGAGGCTTTCTGTGCACAAACACTCGAGACTAAAAAGTGACAAACACAGAGAAGCCTCGTGTGACCGCCTGCCAGATATTGATCCAACGTCTGTTCAACTTAGCGCATTATGCTGAGGTGGAAACCGACTACTCACTTGCTTAACTCTGCTGTAATACAATGTCAGCTTTCAAACTGAATGTCGGTGCACAGCAGGAATACACACTTTTTTTCAGTTGCTCCATTACATCTCTGTGTAAAGGTGCCTGGTAACTTCTTTATGTGGGGAATGATGTTTATGCAATCAAGAAGAAACCACAGAAAACATAACAGCACTCACAGATGACATTTCAAATGAATCCTAAAATACCCTGAGCCTTGTTTTCTTTTTTTAAATGATGTTTTTGGTGACATAAAACAAAGGACAGTCCGAGTTTTTAGCAGAGGTTATATGGGATATGTTTTTATTGTTGGGTTTAGACATTCATCAAGCCTTTAGGCAAAAGTATCAAGATTTGATGTGAAATTTGACTTGACTTTGATTCTCGTGCGACAGACATTTAGCTGCCTCCAAAGTAGTGCTAATTAGTTGTAAACACATGTACAAGTATATGCAGCTTATGTCAATAGTTTTAACCCCTCCACTAAGGTCATCGCTACAGGCAATTTGAGGTTTAAGTGCAATAATAAAAACGTTTAAAATTTGCAGGTTTCTTGGCGCCGGTAGCCTAGCGGTTATGTTGCGCGTCCCATGTGTTGAGGCTGTGGTCCTCGCCACAGCGGCCGTGGGTGCAAATCTGACCTCAGCCCTTTGCTGCATGTCATCCCCCCTTCTCTACTCCCAACACTCCCCGTCCTATATGACGAAGGCAAAAATGGCTCCCAAAAAAAAAGAATTAAAACTTAACAAAATAATAATAATTTGCAGGTTTCAAGTTAAAGATAGCAAAATTGGTCGACGCTTCACCCTTCCAAGTTGAATCAAAAATGATTATTAACGCACACATTCAAACACTTCAGTGGTCAGCCCAACCCCCCCTCCCCCGCTCACTTACCCGAGTGGTGGTGGCGAACATGTACTTTTCTCGGAGCTGGAAGCTGTCCACCTGCTCCAGGATCACCCTGCGGTTCAGTTCACTCTGGAAGAAGTCGGTGCTGCTCAGTATGGTGGAGACACCCTGGGGCTCGTGTCTCTGGACCAGCACTGTGGTCGGGGGGTCGTAGGGATCCACGCCCCTAGAATAGGGGAGCAGCGAAAGATAAGGAGGAAAAGAAAAGAGATACAGGAGGACGAGAAAGCAGGAAGGATAAAAAAAATAAAATAAAAAAAACATAAGAACAATTATTGAGCTGTCCCTTCTTGTAATATAACAGATGTTATAGGAACCAAAACATTCTTGTATTCTTGCACATTTCTCGTAAGTCCTCCTATCTGTCCAAACACAGTACTTTAGTGGTAACTTAATGGAGTAAAAGTAGGCCTACATCAAATTTTTAACACTTTGTCCTCCATCTAACTAACCCACTTAGACCTACTTCACATGTCTCACTGCTAAAAGATTTCTCTGTAGCTTTATTAATTCACCAGAAATATTGTTATTAATCGTGAATTTTATTGGATTTATGGCTGGACAAAAGTGTAATAATAACATTATTAGTATTTTTGTTGCAGAGGTAAGTTACTAAACGTTTATGAGATAATGTTCTCTAAAAAAATCAGGTGTTATTTTATTGTAATCCAATCAATCTTCATTAATCAATCCATCTTATTTAACCAAAACTACGACGTACATCAACTTTAACTGCTTTTTAAACACAGTCAAACCAGAAAGTGGCCCCACAAATGTCATCCTTAAATCAGCTTATGAATGATGGGGGATTAGTGATGTTTTTTCACACTTAGCAAGCCTGACAATATTCTGTCATCACAGCATCAATACTGTAGCTTCTTTCACCATTTTGGCATCGTCCTCTGTAAAAGCATTCCCCCCCCCCATTTTGGAAATGCTTCACCTAACGTTTGATCCCTCTATAATAACAGTCAAAGAGATGGAGCAGAGGCAGGCCTTAAGCCTACCTGACAAACAGCTAAAAACATCACCACAACCTCCTGCAAACTCGCCGTGAATTCCCATATTTCCTGTTGTGTTCTCACATCAGCTCGACCTGATTTCACAGGGAAAATGTACCAGGGAGCTGGCAGGACAAAATTGTGGGTGCAAAAGCCGGACTGAAAAATGTGCCTGTTTGCGTTCACACATGAAAAAAAAAACAGAAGTTCACAGTAGTGTTGTGAAACTGTAAAAGCACCATTGGTGATGCTTTGTGGTGGTGTCCTAGCCCATGTGAATACTGCTCCATTAGTTGTATTCTTGGTCTTGGTGTTTTCACTGTGTGTTGGCTGATTTACCGTTCTGCCTTCATTCGCTTTACACTACGTACAAGACTAACCAGGGCGTACATTTCCAGCCTCTGTCACTTCTCATGGAGACGTTTAGAGTTTGAATCGCACCCCTGTTCGGTCTGTGAGGAGTTCAGATGTACTCCCAGTGGTCTTTTTTCCCCATAGAGAGATTTTTTTTTTTTTCCCCACATTTCCCGGAAATGAAGGGAAGGTGAGCTTAGGACTCCAAACAGCACACAGAATATCCATATCTTTGGATGTGCACTGCAATGGGAACTGTTTTGATATTCAGGACGAACTCAGCTTTTATCCTGCTGTTCAGTGGGCTTTCCTCCAGGTCTCATTTCAGAAATCATCTAAATGTGGAGACTTGTATCCAACATCTTAAAAGGTGTCAGTCTGTGAAAAACATGTACTGAATTCAGCCTGAGGACTCTGCTGCTACACCTTCTAAAACATCTGAATTATTCTTGCTGTTTCAATGGCACAGCATTTGTCATTTCTTTTGCTGTATCAAATAGCAGAACTTCAAAAAGGGTGCATCAGGATGTCCAAACTGAAAGCACATGTCTATGTGTGAACCTTTAAAACAAGTGTGTTCAAACTATTTGTGGCCTCAAGTGCACGGCCAGGCTGTTCTGACACAGTTGCACAGAGAGTCAGCCTGAATGAATGGAGGAGGTTCACTGCGTCTTATCGTCTTGCCTTCTAAATCAGTGTGTTTTCCTGCAGACTCTGGGGAGCCGAACAGAGGGAGCAGTGTGTCTCCACTCTGCTCGGCCTCTGTGGCATTCTTTCAAAGGTTCCTGTTCAGCTGATGGACACTGTCTGGGCTGAGAGTGCACAGAAGGCCATTGGCAGTCTGTCTCTGTCCCTTCCTTTAGATTCATCTCTGCACGCTCTAAACACTTCAAAAAAATCCCCCCTCCGTCTGCTAAGTACCCATTTTCTGACAGTTGTGTTTGTCATTTGATTTGGGTGTCCCTGCAAAGTTTTTGAAAGAAAGGAAGGCGTTTTACACTGTGCCTGTTAAAATGTTCTCGTACTTTAACCCTTCAACACATCTGAGTCGTTAGCTGTCGGCTAACAGACGCTTGTTGTCGTACTTTATTTTGGAGTACATTCACAGCAGAGTAAACAAACACAAAGAGTCAAGATGTCCTCAAATCTGTCCTTTTAAAATGTGCAGGTTTACTTTAAACTGAACAGAATCTAACATCCTTATAGATGATAATGAATGATGTAAATATTTCTGGTCGGAAAATCTCATATCAGAAGAAAATCTGAATCAAATCAGTTTGGACCTGAAGTGCCCAATGAAGAACGCTTCCACTCATTGGCTCTGAGAAACTTTGTTTTTGAAAATGATCTTTTTGCATGACATGTCAATGTCAAACGACACCAATAGCCAAGTTCTGTCTAAGGACAACAAGTACATAACAGATAGAAATTTCCTTTTCACTTTTCCGTTTTTTAATCAGCAGACCCATTAACCGGAGCTACAGTCAGTCGATGGATGTTATACTATGTTACGCAGCAAAACATTTCACCTCAATCAAAGGTCAAATAATCATTATTTTTACCCACTCTGGTGCCGACCAGAAGGGGTGACGACGTTTAGTGAAATAAATGTGCACATCCCTACTTATAACATGTTAATAGTTCGGCTTTATAAAACAAAAATAAACTCCAAAAGACAACTTTAACCTGTGCATTTACTTTCTTAGCCATGACGTTTACTCCTTTCTTGTGTTTTCTTGTTAACCCTCTTTTATTCGTCTCGATGCATTTCAAAGAAGCTTCTGCAGGATTTGCTTTACGTCTGTAATCCGTAGAAGAAAAGGGGATTGTACTTCTCATTGTATACACAGAGGATTGTAGCACTCGGTCCGTCTCAGAGCGCTGAGATCAGAAGATTAAGAGTCGGGTGGGTGATCGACACATCAGATTGGGTTTTAAACGCATCCAGTAGCAGAGCCTTTAGACTGATCTGCAGCATGACAGAGGCCCCCCTCTTCCTCAAGCCAGAACAAACAGGATTAGACCCAAATTGGATGGAGCCACAGGGGGCCTTCAAGGGGTAGAGTTTGGGTTCAGATCAATCTTTATTTGTGCTGCCTTTGTCCCCAGATTATTTGCAGTTTTTCTTGGCGGCTGTAGCTCTGCAGAGGGGTAGCTTTAACAGACTCTATCAAGTCTTTGCTGGCTGACCGCTGCATGCCATCAATGATTAAATAATCAGGCAATCTATGAGAGAGAAAGCTTAAACTACAGATTCTGTTAGAGGCTGAATATTGCTGGGAGGCTACAGGGAAATATACACATCAGTCTTTGGGCTGCTGTGATGTTGGGATGACTTTTTAAAATTAGTTTTGGAGTGATTTCAGGGTGTGGGGATGACGGGGATGGAAATGGAAACAAGTTTCAGGTTACATAATTTACATATTAAGCAATACTACAGGTCTGTAGTACCTGCTACTGTGACTGGTGGATTCTAAAATGTACCTGCCACTCTTTCTTTTTTTTACATGACACTTTTTTTTTTTTTTTTACTGGCAGCATAATGTAATGACATATAAGATCAAGGCTAACAGTACTCAAGTAATCGGCTATTTTATGAAGGGAAAATGTTTCAACTATTAAAGAAAATACTGACATGCTTTTTGTCTCGCCATAAAAAATAATATCTTGGTGATTTTATTAGATGATTAAAAGAGGCTGGTAAGAGTTTCCATTGCAGCCATGTTCTCAAAGGCTAACTCATTTTGCTGATTCATCTGCAAATGAACCTCGACTGAAAGGCAAGATAATCAATTTGTTCTTTCAAAAGCACACGTTTTAAAATAACTCTGTTACCTCACTGTTATTTACCAGCCACCGTCACTGGTAATTTGAGCAAATTCACCCGTCACTGCAAAATAAACACCCATATTCGGCAGGTGACGGGTGCTAATTTCCAACCCTGGTGGATGAACACATAAAGGACATTTTGTGAAGAGGAATAAATGATATAGTCATTGTTTTTTAACAAACATCAGGTGCATAGTTACAAATTTAAAGCCTCTCCATAAAAGTGAGCAGATATTTTTAACTATCTGATCACATTAATAAATAAGGCTGACCTAGCTGTCTTGAGTAGAGCTTCCTGAATTCATTAAAGACTTCAGAGCTAGTGTCTATTAATGAATAATGAGGAATGATCATGTGTACATAAAATACAACTGGGGTGATGAGAAAGTGTTGAGAACACATTTTACCAGGATGAACAACTATCTGGAGTTTAGTGAGTCAGCGATTTCATTTGAGGCTATACATTTTTTAAATTCTCACACTTCTTTCTTTTTCTCTGCTATTAACTCTGCAACAATTCAACTACCATAATCCTTATAATGAAATGATCTTCTCTCAAATTAAAGGAATGCTGTAACTGCTGATTCATGATTCTTTATTTTGGTTGTCTAGTGTATATCTCCATGTTGTGGATGAATGTACTTTTAAATGTTGTATTTACAGTTCTATTCTTCCAATATCAACACTACAGTGAGCTTTAACTGTATCACTAAACAATCAGGCGCCTTTCACTTGAACAAGGTATGTAGGTGTGTGTGTGTGTGTGTGTTGTGTGTGTGTGTGTGTGTGTGTGTGTGTGTGTGTGTGTGTCTTATCGGTGACAGAATCCAGAAGAAAAAGTGATTTTGATCACTTTAAAGAGATCCAGAGACATTCATCTTGATACTAATTTACTCCTAAGGCCTTGTTTAGAGCTGTTTTCTTCCTCACGAGTTGTTTTGTAGAGTCTAAAGCCCCGCCTTCATTTCAATCTAAAGCAACAGACTGAGGAAGTATTTGGCATGAACGTAGATATGCAATCACTGCCTTCATTGTGTGGCTGCTGGCAGCAGTGCCACAACTTTCACTACTTTAACAGCTAAGCTATTTACAAGCTTTTGTCAATCTGAGTTAAAAAAAAAAAGAATATGAATCAATATGTTTTCATTCAAAGCAGGAGAGTCCTTTTCTCTTTGATTCAGGGAGGAAATTCAACACAACCGAACTGTATTCATCCGACCTGAGCAACCGGCCGACTTTTAAAGACGCCAGAAATCAGTAAGCTCAAGGATGTTACATTCACATCGATTATGTCAATTATTAACATCACATAAAGGAAATAGATCTCGTAAGGTTTAAGGCAATTAAAACAAATACATCATAGAAGTCTTAAATGAAAAGCAGGGCTTAAAAGAATCCTCTTTTCTCCTCCTGCCTGTCAGTGGTCCTTCTGTGTTGTTCCTAAGAGTTACCTCACAACGTCTGTTCAAAGAAGCAGCTACACACCACAAAGTGCTCACGCCTAAAGCATCAAACCAATAAGATTTTGTTATATAACATTTATTCTGGATGGGCCTTTAAGAGCCTCAAAAACACAGACTTCTGGAGAGGCTCCCAAACTTGAGGGTTGTGTAAAGTGTATACTGGTTTGGCACTGGTTTGAAATGTTCTGTGAAAAGGTTCCTCCATACTTTTTCACCTGCCCCTACATTCCCTATACTTACTGCAGCCAGCAGAGTGAGGCCACCTGTACTTAACAAGTTAGAATATCATTCTTATATACTTTATTAATCCCTGAGGGGAAATTCTGGTTTCACACTCTGTCATTGAGAGACCTGCTTCTCACACACACAGGCCTGAAAATACACACATGCACAAACATGACCTGTGGACATGCGTTGGTGGAGAGATGTCAGAGTGCGGATGGGGTTCAGTGGCCTTACGCAAGGGCACCTGGGCAGTGCCTCTCCAGCTGCCAGACCAACTTCCATACTTGGTCCGTGACTTGAACCTGTTTGAGTAACCTACAGCCTGAGCTACTGCCTCCCCAGTTATTGCCCCACATCATTGGCGGTTTGTGTTTTTCTTTAGCTTCCAACTTGTCATGTTATTTTTCTGTTTGGTGATTAACTGTCGTTTCAGGGGGAATTTTGTTCTTTGGCTTTGACTCCTGAAATGGTTTGCTCGGATCAGGGCGGGGCCAAGAGAGGAATAAAAGCAGACTCAGCCATAGTGTGCGGGGTTTTGCTTTTGTTTTTGCTCTTTTGTGCATTTGTTCTGCAAAGATTCCCGCCTCCTGACCAGTAGAACATCTTTTTACTCACCACTAGAGTCAAACAGCCACACGTTAATCCCATTTTTCATTTAGACTAACAACCAGTAACACTACACTTTGTTGTTAGAAACATCTTGTGTAACAGTCTATATTTCCGTTAATGAGCCTGAGAGGTGTGAGATGTCAGGTTGAACTCGTTTTGTCACAACCTGGTAGTTATGAAAGTTTGATGTGATTGTGAAGAAGAGGAATGATTTAAACCAGGTTTCCGAGGAAAAATACTTTTATCCTTTTATCCTGATCATTCTTTATTATCCTTTAACAATCCAGGCTCAGTTTGTGCTTCAAACAGTGTTTTAACTCTTCTGCTGAACGGAGCACCAACAGCAGTCTAACGACTCGTGCCACAAATCCCAATTATTTGCATCATATTCATAGTATGGATTGCCCCTGTTAACAGCACACACACGCACGCACGCACGCACGCACGCACGCACGAAACTGAGAAAGTGAAAGTAAATATGAACCAGGTCAGCCCTCGTGTCTGATCCTGTTTCAGCTACTCAAATAATGAAGCCTTTCACTCGCCCCTCCTTAAAGACAAACACGGTGTTTCACCGCTGTCATGTTGTGTAAACATGTTTAAACCTCTCAAGAACACACATCCCAATCCAACTGGATTCTTTTGACTCATTTACAGCTGTCAGGGGAGCGTCGTTTGGCTCTAGACTCTTTAATGTCAAACAAAGCTGATCTATGCATTAAGGTTGTTTTTTTAAGTAGTATGTTTTTGGAAATCTTTCAATAAACATTCATCAATATCACATTAGTATTAGGAAAGAACCACAGGGTACCACACAATACGATGTCCCACGTTTACAATATCATATATAATATCATGACTCAGCGATTCTGCGATGATTGGTGTACTGCAAGCCCATCATGTAGGATTAATCACTATTTATGATTCACTGAAGAACACAAAAAGCCCCTCAAAAGGTAAAGTGGGTTCTCTTTTTCTTCTTCTTTTATCTCACTTTAATCCACTTCTTATTTGGATCACTTCTGTCATTACAGTCATGAGTGCCATCGTCAGGAGTCGTTAAATAGTGACGCAGTGACTTGAACTGGCAGCGGAATCTGATTAGAGAGTCCTATTTTTAATATTAAAATATAAATATAAGGCCCCAGAGGTCTGACAAACTGATATATCATTACACTTTAACAACTTGTGATTTTTACATATTACAGCCATGCATGTAATAAAGCATTACAGTATTTTTAACCCATACCATTTGTGAACAGTTTCATGGTCCTTTCTGCCTGAAAGCTGAGTATTATTTTGTAGCAAGGGCTGAACTGGGATTTCTGGAAGGTTATGTTTGCTATTTCCTGCACATACCGGGGGCCCTGAATGCAGCACAGAGTTCAGGACATTTGTCATCTGAAGTATACATACAATCCTGAGACAGTGGATGTGTCTTACCAAAAGTAGGTCTTCACGTGCTCTTGGATCAACACCCATGTCTCCCCAAAGTCGTCTGATTTCCACAGCTGCAGGAGGGGAGAGATGCGGTGTTAGGAGGAGGAGGAAGAAGAGGAAGAAAAAGAAAAAGGAGGAGGGGGATGGTGAACTGTAAAAATGTAGGTCATGCTCATTCCTTTCGTTTTGGCTCTTGCACATGTGACATGAGAACACTGAAGAGCCGTTTGGCGCTATTGTGCTTCAAGAAAACAAAAAAAAAAACCTTCCATGGTGAAACCTTGGCAAAGACACTCTCTGCTCTCAGTTACCATTTATTCTGTATTCAACATCAGAAAAGTGCAGAAAATCTAAAAGCAGCTCATGAGGTGCACAGAAGCTTAAGCATTTCTAAATAGACCCAATCATGAGGAAATTGATGATTTGATGTATTACATATGTGCATTAGAAGTATCTGAATTTAAAAATATTGGATCAGAATGTGGCTATGAGTTGAAGTCTGAGGGCATAACTGATGGAAAAGTAACCTCTTGGTCTACATGTGAGCAGTGAAATACATTGAACAATAACACAATAACACCACTTTTTGTTTTTGCTTCTATTATTTATGACATGACAGAAAAAATAAGACACTCAAATGGCTTGTTTCTCTCATTTTTTATAACTTGAAATCCCTGTAGCAGGATAAACAGAGTCATTATTTACCCAGGTGTGTCTGGACTGCAGCTGGCAACAAAAGCTGGCTTAATAATGTGTTGTCAACCACACAACACCAGGACACACATACCTGCGTGTGGCTGGTCTGAGACTATCTTGCAGGGGGAATCTAGTGAAGTCGTACTGGCTAGATAAATGTGATGTCAAATTCCCAGGCTTTGTTTGGTTGAGTGAAACTGCACATTTAAGTGTTCACAGCAACGAACAAAAACCTGTTCGGACAATCCTGCTGTTTAATCAGCATCTTGATAGACCTGACCCGTCGGTTGTAAGTAAATTAATAAAACCATAATTGTTAAACTTAATAACTTAATCTTAAAAGCTACACTAAGGAACATTAGGTTGGTGTCATTAACCGTATATAAATATGGACATCACGTCTTTGTCTCCTTTCATTGAATAAAATTGAAGCCAAAATACCCCCATGTTCGATGATGACATATATAGTGCTGGTGACCCAATTTAGCGCCTCAACACGGGAAGAAGAGAGCTGGTTGGCGGATCCGCGGAAATTAGCGTCATGCCCCTTTTCCGCTAACCGAAGCACACATTTAACTCACAGATTAAACGTCAAAGATCTCTCTGGTGGGTACAGTCCACAGCAGAACAGATTTTTGTGTCATTTCAAAACACACACTCACAGTTATGACTTCTGTGGTAGTTTTTATTACTCTTTCTCTCCTCTGCTAAATCAGCTGAGGACGCTGTCAACAGAGCTGTCAATCATGGCTAACCTGAGTTAAATGGGTTTTACGACTTTGTGAACATAATTGAGAGAAACAAGCATTTGGTTTGACTTTAAAGGTCTTAGATCTTTTGATTGAAGTTGTAAAAAAAAAAAATAGTAGGAGCAAAATTAAATTTGTTACATTTCTATTCTTTCAGTTGATGCTCTGCAGGTGTCATTCTTGAAGTATCACAAAGGGTTAGCTAATAAATCTATGATGAATCTAGCGTACACCTTGTGATGATGATACACTTTCTGTTACAGGGGGAGCGGGTCTGTCTGTACCTGCTTGTTCGGGTGTGAGCCGTCATAGCCCAGCACCAGGTTGGATCTTCTGTTGTGGAGCAGCAGGTCTGTGGGTTTGAAGGGCAGAGAGAAGCCTTGCACACTCTTACAGAAGTCAAAGGTGTTCCACAGGTAGTTGTTGGTGGAGTCCACAAAAAGGTACTGATGGAGAGGAAGAAAACAAACTCATTAGAAACAAACAAAAAAACACATACGACTGAATTTAAACCTTACTTGGAGCTGAAATATTGCAATTTTTTTTCAAGCTAGGAAGTCTTACAGCTCAGTGCTCCATCAACACTTTGCATTCCCCAGTGGCATTACACAGTTTGATTATGTAATTGCACTGAGCTAATCCCACGTTTCTCAGCTCGCTTTGATGTGCTGTGTCACTGTTTTCCCCAATAACCACTCAGTTCTCCGTAAGCAGGGCAGAGCAAAGCAGAAAACACAAGTTACTGAAGCACGAAGGCTTTCTCAGGTGCTTCAGTGATTTCTGACTGCAGTGTTTGAACAGAAAGTCAAGGGTGGGGGATCACTAATGTACAGATCACTAATGCACAGAGGAAGCTTCACTAAGTCATGCCTGCTGGGACCAGGGGGCCATTAAGAGTTCAGAGGATAGCATCTGAAAAATATCTCTTATATTAAATTCTAGGAGCAGTTAAAGACTTGAATTTCCTTAATTAGTATTTGATTCAGTTTTATTTCATGTTCACACTTTTTTAGATTCTTACGACTATTAATATCAGACTATACTCTTTTGATAAATCGGCCAGCCGATAATATCAGCCGATATTAGAATACCCAGTGACCATCGGCATCGGTAATTAGATCACAGACATGCTGTGATATTACTAGATATATATTGATTACAACAATCATTATCACCCTCCAGAGTGTCAAGCTGAGATGCACGTTCATGAGCAGCTACTTTCCAGTTAAGTGACCATCTTGTCTTCATTATATATTTTTTCGACAAGTGTTTGATAACTGCATTTGAGTGCTCAACACAAAACAAGTTTGTATCTATATCTATATTTATCTCTACGATCTCAGATAGATCTGAAGAAAATATCAGCCGATATTTCTTTTTTAATAGGTCTATTATATTTTTACTTTTTTCTCTTCCTAATATCGGTATCGGACCCAGAAATCCCATATTGGTCAGTCCCTAATTGTTTTTGACATTGCAGCTATAAATGGATCTTATTAATTGTTGTTGTTGTTGATCTTTTTGTCTCTATCTGTCTCTTTCTTTCTGCATCTCCGTCCATCCCAGTTCCAAGCAACACAGACATCCACCGCAAACGCATTAAAGGGGTATTTTAGTGTAACTTTGAACCATCATTATTTTATTTCTCTGGGGGTCTAAAGTACAAGGTACAGAAAGTTTTGGTGGTGCTCCAGCTTCAGTGAAACAAATCTGCATCATAATCCCTGTTGGCAAAACATGTCGGATTAAAGTAAGTCCACTTACGGTTCTTGTGTATGTCACTAACAAGCTCAGATTGTTTTACTGTAGTGTCTAACAACATTACAGAAAGGATCCTGACAGAGTCTCTGTGAGGCGGAAACAGCCGTCATATCCCCACTCCCCACTCGTCAACTGATTATACTTGACGTTAGAAGTTTTCAGACCTACCCGTCTGTTGTCTGCAGGACTGTGGTAGAACTGGGAGATGACCTGCTTTGCTCCCTCTTTGAACTTCACCCCTGAGAGCTGGAATTTCTCTGAGACGAGCGTGAAGGTGGTCCCGTAGTCGTACGACACATAGATCTGGAGGAGCAAAAGCAGAAGAGGAGAAAAAAAATCAATGACTTCACTTTGTCGTCAGTCATTAAGACCCCAAAATGTGTAAAAACAGGGACCAAGGTTTCTCAACAAACAAAAAACACCCTAATTCATAATCCATTGGAGATATAGTCTGCCTGTTATCTTCCATTGTTTTCAAGTAAGCTCGGGAAGGGAATTAATCAAAAGCAGTGCCGGTGGGGAAGTTAGAACAGAAAGATAAAAGGGGAGCAGGTTCAATGACTGGGCTTTAGGCTTTCAGTTAATCACAAGTGTGTGCTTGTGTTTGTGTGTTTGTGTTATTAGATGACAGATGGAGGACTCAATCTGTGGCCCTACAATCAAAACATCACCAGAAACATGAGAAACATGTTAGACGAGTGTGAGCAAAACACCTTCTGCTGCACTGCTCACTTATTGAGGTTACTTACTGATGGAGTTTCAATTCAAAAGGGACGGTAAGACTGGGGAGACAACATGTACAATATGCGAGGCGTTTCAGGCAACAAGATAAACTCTCATTTATGTTTTAGCTGAACGTACCGAGCTGGTTTTGGGCCCGGTGGCTCCTGCGCTGTCTCGGGCCAACGCAACGATCACATTGCTCTTCTCTCCGGCCCAGTGGACCACCATCTGGTTGTGAGAGTCGTTCAGGTTGGCCTGCAGGACAAAATGAGATGAATTAAAGATGTGCATCAGGGAAAAAGGCAAACAGGCCGATTCACACTTCACCACGGAGATACTGGGTTGGTGCAAAGCGAGAGAACAGGACAAATAAGAAACAAAACATAAACAAGGACTGCAAGGTAAATTGAGCAAAGCTTTAAATCTAATCTGGAGTCAAACTGAATGTTTCTATGAATCAGTTTTTTTTTAATCTGCCTTGTTGTTGTTTTGAGGTCAAGGTTGGTTCATTAAATCTCAAATCATGCACTATAGTGACTGAGACTCCAGCTGCAGAGGATGTCAAGCAAACCTAAACAACCTGCTTCCAGCACAGTTTAATGTGTTGTGATAAAAATAAAACAAGAGTGAACATAACATTTTATTCTCCAACTGTACCGTCAGCTCCCGGTGTGCTGCACAATTAAGTCTTTATTTTAAACAACAACAGCTGCTCAGGTTGCAAAAACACATTTTGACTTTGAAATTTGAATTGACCAGGCAGTATGCAAACAGCTCAATAAAGATCCCTGTGAAACATGGAAATGTATGTGAAAATTGAGAGCTCTTTTTGCTACTTTTCATTCATCTGTCTTAGCTACAGAGTCACAAGCCCCTTTCACATTGTCAGCTAAAGGCAGAACTTTTACGGCCCCACTTTTACAGGGCTGTTTGTGGTGCTAACTGAGTGTGTGTATATGAAGCTCCCGCTGTTTGTTTACATGTTGTGCCGCTCTTGCTTCCGTTAAATCATGCACTAGAACGCCGATATTTTCCCATTGTGGATTCAATATAAATGTGCAAAGCTGATAGTGATGGTGGAGCTTCCTTATCTGCACTGTTAGAAAATAACAATGTAAAAAAAAGGATGGTTGTGTGGCTTCAACAGGGACAGCTTGAGTAAGCGACATAAATGACTTCCAGCTGCTTTTACACCGTATCTGGATTAAGCATTGGTTCCTTTTAAAGGCAGGGTGGTACTTATTGAAAGCTAGCAAGATTTGAAAAGTAGCATCTCCTCAGGTCTCCGTCTTAGCCCACACGCTCCCCTCAGCGCTCCCTCAAATGTCACTTCAAAGGTGTTATGAGTGCTTCCTCTGGTTTGTCCTCTTGCTTTATCAAAACTCTTTCTCGTTGCAGCCTTCTCAGCTTCTGTCTATCTTTTCTTTCCTTTCTTTAGCAGGATGTGTGACGTGATGTGCGGTCTCCAGTAACCGTGGAGGTGGTCATTTGAGCTGAGCTTTCTATGCCATCCTACGGTAAATGTGGAATACCTAAGACAGCAGGGAAGCTTTGAGCGTCGGCTGGTGCAGGACATCTGATTGGTACTTTCCAATCATCTTTGTCTTTTAGAAATAAAAACTATATCTAATAAAAAAGTTATATTACAATTAAGTTTATTACTAAAGGTTAGCAAAAACAGAAACGGAAAAACCGATTGTGCATATGAATGCATATCCACACACCCTACATCCCCCCTTCTCCCCGTCAAACAAGCCTGTGATGTGATAATCATTTCTGTGTATCAGACCAGAGAAAGATACTTTTGGAATTCACTGTGTTCAGTTGTTAGCGGGGGACTTGTATTGTGAAGAGAGTGTTTATCATTGAATTAACTGAGATTTAGCAGAGGTTTTTCAATAACACCAAAGGGAGTTACGGTATTTACAGCCAATCTCTTGATCCTGAGTGAACACACTGGCTTAATGTTGCCGTTATGTGATGAAATTGGAGAGGGGAGAAAACAGGTTTGCCACATTTCACTTTTGTTTGAAAACTGATCACCTGCTCTGACACGAGGAGTGGGCGTTGCCGTTTGGTCAGTGAGCGTGTGAGGCCGCTGGCTCTGCTCTGGGTGTCAGAGCTAAACAAGCAGAAGACTTCTGCCCTCACTCTGAGCTGTTGTCTGTCACAAATCACTATTTGACGCTACTTTAATTTACTCGCCACTGTTGCAGGTAGGTTTAGCAATTGGTGTCGGCTTAAGTGTGCGCTACAACCAAAAGTGTGGTTTTAAAATCGGTGATAACAGTATCGCACAAACCCATGTCTTGGCAGAATGTAAAACCTGTGACAGTATTGATATCGGTTTTCCGCACACCGCGAGCACTAACCATGACTTCTTGCAGAAATGTTCTAAAGAATTGGCTGCAAAATGTCTGGGTTAATTTTGGGTGAAAATGTCATTGACACCTGCAGATCACTCTGAAATGTTCAGGAGTTTTGCATGTGTGAAAAGAGTAAAAGAGTGGAGTTTATGGGCATGGTTTGTATCTACAAGTGACACAATTATCTTTAACCATAGTGATGTGGACATTTCCTTCATACTTCATTATTTAGGAGTGCAGCTTTAAACTCAGAACTCAGAATTAGCCCTCAAGGTGAACACTATCTTGGTTAACTTGTTTATTATCTGTTATGCAACTTGTTTTTGAGATGTGCCCTGACAGATTTGGGCTCTACAGCGGGAGGTTATCTCAGGTGTCAGCTGTGTTTGTTTGCAAACCGTAATGAGTTGTCATGAAGCCCTGAAGGCTTCCCTTCCTTGATCTTTATCTTCATTGTGTAAGTTTGACAGACGGGACATGGAAGAGACAAAGTAATTGAGTCTTCATGCTTTTAAATTGAAGGAAGAGAAATGAGCTTGTCTAGCTGCCCTGCTCTTTAAATCAGGGCAGATTTGCAGCATTATGTCTGAGGTTTTACTGTGAAGCAGAAAGTCATGGCTGTCTGCTGAAGCCTCAGATATAAACCATGTGTTGAGCTGAACTGATGTCTAAATCTATTCTTGAGACAGTTAGCAGATCACACTGATTTGTTACAGTCATCCTTCTTCCCCAGAGTGAAACATTATCACATTCACTTTTATAATATGAAAGTTAATCTCATTTTCGTTCTTACATTTGTCTCAACACCGAGGAGTTGAATAATGAAAATCTGAAAATGTCTAGAAAATTTCAGGGAGGCTGGCCATGACATCTTCCTGAGTTGGTTTTTCATGCATGTCCTTCACATCGGGAGATGTGTCAGACGGGGGGGGGGGGGGGGTGTCTCAGGAGGCCAAACAAGACATAAAAAAGAACGAGATGATGAAGCAACAAAGTGTGACGCTATTATGAGATTTTTAGCATTCATATCAATGCCACCTGTAGATCAACACATTCAGAATGTAAACAAGAGCGTAAAGGATCATACTGCTCCAGGCTGTCCCATGTTCATATCTACACACAAGATATATATATTTTTTTTTGGGACTTCAGAAGCCTCGTATGATGCACTGCTAGACTGTATAGTTTGAATTTTGAACAGCTCATTACAGGTCAATTCCCCCAGGTTTGAATTTAGAACAAGAAAACATAATGAAGCGGTGTTATTACGTGGACAGAGATGGCAACCAGTCACATTCATACATTATATGCACGACCAGTAACAGGTTGTGCACCGGTAACAGGATATAAACATCAACACCCCCCTTCCGCTTGCTTGCTGTGAATTTCCCTGAATATATAATTCTCACATCAGCTCAAAGTGTCTTCAGACAGAAAAACCTACAAGGAGGCAGGCAGCGGAAAACTTCCAGGTAAAGTCGGGGTGAAAAGTTTGTCTGTTTCTGTTTACACAAGAAGCTCAACCTGAAAGTTGTGTGTGAGTCTAAAATCACCTTTTGACTAATGAGAAGTCAGTGCTACAAAGAATGGGGCAATAACTTTTCTGCTGCTGGAGATCACTAATGCACACATGGGCGTAATGTTGCCTTCTTTTTATTTTACCAGGAGTACTCCCATTAACAAACAAAATCTCTTTGGCGAGGGAGTCCTGGCCTAGACAGCAGCATAACGTTTCATCCAAAGAAGAAACAACAGACAATAAAACAGTAGAACATTTCATCAAATAAAACAACATAGCAGCTTTCAGCATTAAAGCAGGTTCATCCACTTGTACATGATCCTTAATCCTGTTTTTTAAGTCCTCAAAGGCTGTAGTTTAAGGTGACTCCGCAGCTTCCAGGATGAGGGGGCAAAGTCATTAAAAGCACTTTTACCAACCACAGAGTGAGCTAAAGGAATGACATACATGGAATTAGTGTGGTATTCAGAGTGGTTGAACACTCACATTAACACCTGGCCCGATCAGTGTGTGCATAGTGTGTGCATATGAGGTAGTTCAGCCGGTCTCTGTTCATGTAGAGGAGGGCTAATGTAATGACTTTCTGGAACACATACTGATTCCCCTGCTCAGTGCACCTCCCACAGGGCTTGTAGATCAATGAAAAGAAATAGGCTATTTCATCTTTTTCATTGTCACTGCCTCACCCGCCGTGCTGCCGTTCTTCTCTTATCTTTTATTGATGATTCTGCGAGAGGGCAGGCTTCTGAAGGAGCTCTGCTTTTTGCTTCAAAGTCTTCTTTTTTTTTTTTCCTTTGCTCTTCACACTGTGAAGTAAACAACAAATGTCTCCCCGCTTCCCCTGTCAGCCGTGATCAGACAACCCTGGACCCACTTCTCGTTTGCAACTTCTACTATCGCTGTGCTGATGGTGGATGACAGGGCCAAAACGTTGTTATTGTGAAAGCATGGGGGACGTGGAGTTTAATACAATATTTGGCTTGAAATATTTCAGCACTTATGAAGAGCTGCTGGCAGTGCGGCGTGCATTGCTGGGCCTGTGGTGTGGTTAACATCAGGGTTTGGATTCAACAGTAATCTTGCAAGGAGAAAACACGCAGCAGAAAAAGGCTGAGACGCTAATATCACCACCCACAGAGGCCTCACAAATCTATAAAAGCAAAGCAGCAACAGCACATATTGTGTTCTGGATGAGGCAGTGGGTATTTCATGAAAATTACAACCGTTTATCACAACAACAAAAACTCCTTGAAGGCATCCTAAATCACCAGAGACTGATGATATTTAAATGCAAGACGACCCAAGTGTTGATTTTTCCCCGTTAGCACGATGCTAAAGTTGTCTGCAAAAGCCAACATCCTGCAGGAGCC